GTGACTTTCCCCAGAATTGTTCCAAGCTGGATTCCAACGAAGATGACCTCAACAACAGTAATTGGGGAAGTCTTGGGTTTGAGTCCCACCTCAGACACACACTGCCTGTGTGACCCAGGCGAGTCACTACATCTCTCAGTATCCTGGGCATCTCCCTAAAACATAATTTGCAGAGAAGATGAAGATCTGCATTGGAAGAGAAAAATGCTCCATTGGAGTTCCCAACTCCAATGAAATCATAGGTCCCATCCAACAGAATATCAATATTAATAATAATCTCTAAGAACACCAGCCAAGCCTCCTCCTTACAAGGCATTCACACTTGTATCACTGAAAATGATCTATAAACACTTACAAGAAAACAATATATTGGCTGGAGAACAAAATGGGTGAACCTGAGCAAAACATGAGAATGAGATCACCTTAGTAACAATAATCATATTTTGTATTTAGATGCTTTCTTAAAGTTTGCAAATTCCTTTACATACTTGACTTCATCTGCCCTCTCATTTAACTTTATTATTACTAAACAACTGAGTTACAAACTAGCATAAATTGGAACCCAAATTAGATTCATATACCTGATAAGTTTCCATTAAATTTCCAATATTTATATGTTTACCTTTAAAAGTGACACTGTATATTCAGTTTCCAAATCTATACTACTGATTTCATGAGATAGTTCAATGACTAAGTGAAAATGTATCTCTGTCTACAAATTCCCCCCCCCCCCACCTGGTGTTGTTAATCCCTCTCCTGCAAATTTCTTTATATGTGTTTTGTATGGAGGAGGTTGATCAAGGGAGTTCACAATTCACAGGGTCACTGATCTAAAGCAGGAAAAGGCCTAAGAGGACATTTAATCCAATTCCTTCACTTTAAAGAGAAGGAAACTAAGGTATGTGTGAGTTTATAACTTGCCCAACAGGGTTAGCAGAGGTAGGAGTTGAACTCTGTAATGTTTCACTCCACAGGCAGCACTCTTTTTTTAATTAATTTTTTTAATTAATAAAAATCCATTTTCTCTCTGTCTGACTCCCACAATGAAAAGAGAAAAAAAACCCTTCTAACAAATGTGCAGAATCAGGCAAAACAAATTCCCACATTGAGCCAGTGTTCTTTCCACTATTCCCTTGTTCAACCTGATGAGCTCGCAAGGGCAATGAGACTTTGTCTGAAACATCTGCTGAGCACTTCCTTCTGGAGTTTGGACAAGCTCCCTGGCATCTTGTGAAAATAACAAAAGACAACTTCAGCTAAATCTCAGTGATTGGAGTTACCCCACAATGAACTGGTTAGTTTGAAACCACTCCTTGCCAAATCCTAGGGAGTAAGTTACAGTGACTGGGGCTACTCCCAAGGTGATTTGATTACTCAAATGCTTCAGAAAATGGAATCTTCAGGAGTCAACCTTTGACTGGCTTATAAAAGTGTGTACAGAAACCTTCCTGGGTCCTTTCACTTTTTCTCAGTTCAGGAAACAGACCCCCAAAAAACAAAACAAAGACCTCTCAAATGCCCACAAGGCTCAGGGGACAATAATGGCTGCCTCTGGGTGAGAGTACAGAAGAGCTGCATGTGCTCACCTATGCAGTCAAAGATGAGAGTTCCACCCCAAGAGACGGCAGCAGTCAGGATAGTAGTAGGATACTGCCCTGGGTCAGAGAAAGGCATGAGCTGATCACCCATATGAACAATGTCTTCTTGGACCCCTAGCCTTCAAAAAGGGTTGAAGAGAGTTAAGGTGGAGTTCCTAGGCAGCATGAAAAGCATAATCCAGCATTTAAGTCACAAAAGGGAAACTTCTTGGGTACCGCGAGCCTTAGGAGTTACTTCAAGAGTAACCCCAAGTGCAAAAGTCAAGAGATCTGGATTTCTGGGCAGATAATAGGAGAGTTCCTAGGCAGCATGCTCGTGGAGAGGGAAGGTTTGCCTAAGTGGCCCTTGCAGCTAGAGAAGCAACAAGGGACTAAAGTCATGACATAGCAGGATGCCTATACCCTACTTTCCTCTATTAATACTATGGCTTATTTCAGAGTATCACAGTGAAGACGGCATCTGGCCCTCATATTACAGATAAGGAAACCGAGGCAATTGGCCTACGGTAACAGGGCTAGGAATTTGAACGCAGGTAAGTTTTCAGGCTCCAAATCTAGTGCTCTTCCCTCTGTGCCATACCTGCCTCTTCTGGCATACAAATCTTGACACTGTAGGTCTGATGGGAATGGCTGCTGTGCCTTTGCCTTACTGGGATGTTTGGGGAAAAAGAGTCCATACTTCTGGGCAACCCTAGCGGTGCAGAAGGGACCATACGTAAGATCTTTTTAAAGACAGAAGTTTCATTGAAATTCTGGTGTCACCTCAGGTTCTGGTCCTTCTAAAGGGAGTTCAAGAGCTACTGTCACTGCTTTATGTGTTTCCAAATCTATGTATAAGTTTCTGTGAAGTTCTTGAGCCTGTGACATTTTCTCTGAGAATAAATTATAATAGTTCTCTACCCAATTTGCGTTTATTGTCCTGAGTAATATCTGTACAGGATTAAGGGATCCTCTTCCCCACTTGTGTGAAATAAACATGAGCTATATTCACAGATTTTCCCAGAATAAAAACTTGGGGTAGGAAAGAGGGCATAAGACGACAAAAAATATACGGCCTTTTGGAGTTAACCCCTAAGATTGGACATAGTCTGGATAAGCAAGGAGTTTGAAGACCACAGGCCATGTGAGACAGTTGTATTAACAGATCTTTGTACATGTTGTTTTTCCCCTAGTGGAATGAAAGCACCTTGAGGGCAGAGATCATTTCATTCTTGTCATTGTGTTACTCCATGTTTAGCATAGTGCCTGGAACATAGTAGGCATTTAATAAATCCTTAATGAACTGAACTATTCAGTGAGGAAAATAAGCAAAGATAATATAATCAAGCTTTCACAAGTGCCACATAAAAAAGAAGCATACTCAAGAATCAAAAGCACATTCTCCCTCTGGTATAAAGATCTCAATACACCTAAAAATTACTTATATTCTCACCCTTAAGAACTAGGTTCCCATATGAATATAGCCTTCTCAAAAGGCTATCCAAATCATATCCAATTGTCATAGCTGACATCTGTATAATGACCTAATCACTCTGGCAGCTATGTGGAGGATGGACTGGAGAAGGGAGAGACACCTGGGGAAAGGAAACCAATTAGGAGGTTAGGCAAGACCTGATGAGACTATGAATTAGTGTGGTGCCCTAATAGAGAGAAAAAGATGGATGCCAGACTGTTGTACAGGTAAAGGTGATGAAACTGGGCAACTGACTGCATATGTAGGTGAGGCAGAGTGAGAAGTCAAGGATGGCTCCAAGGCTGTGAACCTCTGTAACTGGAATAAGGGCAGTACCCTCAAGAGAAGCAGGAAAGTTCTGACAAGGGGTAAGCTGGGGGGGAGGGAGGGAGGAATGAGTTCTGTGTTGGATAACTGACTGTTCTGGAAATATATTTGTAATTTTCTGTCCCTAAATGAGTCTTTAATTAAGATTTTTCCCCACTTATAAATACCCTCTACCACATTTACCATTCTTCTAAATGTTGTAAGACCAAGCTAAAATTCCAACTTCTATGGAGATGCTCCCAGAATACTCCAGGGGCAACTCCTATTAAGTTGTCAGTACCCCTCTGACAGTTACCACTTAGCACCTGAAGCTGTGAAATGCCTTATTTTCCCCCAAAAACCTATTGCTGTAAGGCAGAGATGTCACTTCTTTGCATCTTTCATACACAGCACAATAACTATTTGCTGAGTGACTGGCTAAATTGTAGGATCAATTCTTAGAAACTCTGTTTCTGATGACAATCACGCCCAATCATATAATTAGGAAATAAGCACAGGGGCTTGGCACACAGTAGGCACTTAACAAATATTTATTGATTGACTGATTAAAAAAAAAAAAAAAAACCTCTCCATGCAGAAAAGAAATGTGTAGGCTTTAAATGAAAAGGACAAGAGAGGGAGCCAGATCCAGAAAGTGAGTGAACTGCGTTCAGATTCCTCAGCCTTCCATGGCCAGTGACCAAGACTCCTTGGAGTTTCTTTTATTCCTTGCAGTGTTATAGCTAAAGTCATGATGATTATATAAAATATAAGCATATACATTAGTTCAAACAGGTACCAGAGAACTTCTCTTCTCTCACTCATATGGGACATGAGAGAATAAGCTTGACTTTTCTATGATTGTCCATATAACAGCACTGCTGTGTTAATATAAAAGCCAATGTGTGTAACAGCTTAACACATTTTAAACACTTCCAAAACAGTCTTAGAAGGATCATTTACTAATAAGCTAAACACAAATTATTTCTGTTATCTGAAGCTGATCCCCAATGTTCTGGACTTCTAGCCTATAGCTTCTATTTCTGTATGTATCTGAAAGTAACAAAACTGACCTAAAATATTCTACAGTTTAGATTAACTTCACATTCTCTAGTTACTATATTCAATATAATCATTTCTACTGCTCGTGATGAATTATAAACTCTGAATTTGTTGCTTGGAGAGGTCTAATATTTGTTCCTAACATATAAAGCATAAAAATTTCATATAAAGATAATTAAATTTCAAAGTAAGCGCCCATTTGAATTTGGTTATCTTTAGAAGGGGAAATATGTTTTTAATCTTTTAAGTTAAAATCTTTGCAGTTAAACAGTACCTAATGCCTACACTCTAATGTTTGAATGAATAAAATTACATGAAGAAGCAATAAATAGACTTTACTGAAATAACTCAATAAGTGCAGGAAAATCTGCTTGAAATACAATGATCTAAAATTTAAAGAAATACATTAGACATAGTTCTTTTTTTGGAGATAAACATAATGACATTAGATATGACTAATTTATTCCACATATTACTGAGACAGCAATCAATCAACAAACATTTATTAAATGCTTACTATGCTGAAAATAAAATGTTTTCTACCTTCAAATCTAACTTTTTAATGATAGGCATTATCTTACCTCAAGAGAGTCTGCTGAATAAAACTGTGTTTTCTATTTTCTCCAAATTGCTTTGATCTATATTTCCACTTCATTAATTCCAAGGCAATATTAAAGTAACACATATTTCCATGAATCTGTTAAGATAAAAAAAAAAGTTGATTTAAAGACAGACAATTTTTGTTTTTAGGACAACACAATCTATCAAAATACAGATTTCCTATGCAAATCAATGTCAAGCAAGTATTTTTATTTTAGAAACTGAATCTTCCTCCTTAAGTAGCTCACTCCTCCCAAAGGCTTTGCATTTTGAACATTTTCAACTTCTTGAATCAACCAATTTTAGTGCACAAAAGTCATTAATTTTTTCAAAGTTTCACATTAGCTATTACCACCCATTAAAATTTTTAAAGGAATTTTACACTGCCAGTATTTATTATATTTTAGGTTCAAATGTTATAATGTATGTAAAGTACTTTGTAACTTTTCAAAAACTGTAAATGTCAGCTATTACTACTGTAATTATCTCAGTTTATCAAAAATTAGGGGGAATATTTAGGACAGAATCTTTATACTTCGAAAATTCTGATTCACACACTAGCTTCTAATCCCCACAAATGTACATCTAACCATATTTTTTTAATTCTTTTAATCATTTTATCTGCATTTAATCATTTTATCTGTTTACCAAGAAAACAGTTTCAATTTCCATCAAACTTTTACCCTCCCAGAATATCAGGCATTTTTCAAATCAGAACTGGAATATATCTGTGAAGTTTCATTATTTATGAAGTATTACTAGTACCCTACTTGAATGAATATTTTTTAAAACCAACTCACAAACACGTAACTGAAAACTTTATTAAATTCACTTAAGGTACTAATAGAGATAGTTGAAAAATACATTCGAGTACAGATGACGAGATGTTATTTCATTCAAACAGCAAAATATTGCACTGTCTATTTAAAGTGGAAAAATCCAAAAGGTTTATGAATATTATAATCTACGTCCCACTCCAAGGTCAAAATGTCTCTCTCTCTCCAAGTCCATTTGGAAGTATCATTTGTGCCTCGCTGAGGTTTAGCAGTCTTGGCAATAAGGACTAAATTTGTGTAAACTAGAGCAACCTGAACCAGTCTGGCGTATCAGATAACACTCTTTCTTAAAGACAACAGTCTGCTGAGCAGACAGGCTGCCACAGGACCATGTTAAATCTTTCATGGTCCACCTAAAACCAGACTGACCAAGGAGAGCAGTTAGCACAGGCCTGTCGGATTTAGGAACTTCTGACCTCCTACTAACCACCCTATTCAATCACTTCTTACACAGGTTTTCACATACATCTGTATTTTTTTATCCCTAAGTTCTTAGAAAAGCACACAGAAAAATTAAGATGTAAATAAATATAATGCTCTAGAAGTTAGGATTTAATGTTTTATTTTTACTTTTTATTGCCTAGCCTTAAAAATACTTTTTATTAAATTAAGAAAAAACATAAAGGTGCTGATTGTTGCTTAACTTTCAGTAAAGGTAGCACAGATGTATTTTTTCCTTGAGTCTTAAAATATTCTCCAGTCTTTTCCACAAGTTGTTTAGATGGGGGAGTTGGGAGGGGGAGGGGTAGGAAGACGTGAAACCAAAGAAATGAGACTAATCCCATAGAAAACAAAGAATCCATCCATCCTCCCTCTCCCTTTTTCAAGATATCATATCATATACCCAGAGATTTGTTTTAATCCCAACTAGTCCTTCCGGCAGATTCACACACATAAATCAGAAAATGGGAAACTAAATAGAATATAAATATTAAAACAATTTTAAAATGTTTATTAAAGTACAATTTCTTTGGGTATTAGAAAATGATCGTGCTGTTGACTAATCCAAAGCTACTAAAGAGTTTTAGCAAATATATTTTGATAAGTACTCAAAAGCCACCATCTTTTCTACTATTCCAACTTCTAACAACCTTTTTTTCCTCATCTGCTTTATTACAGACTTTACTAGTATAAAGATTCCAATTCTAAGTTACCTCAACTTATTTCTACTCTTCAAAAAACTATTCAAAAAGGCTTCCTGACCTCTAAGGGCTTCACTAACAAATCCTGAGAAGAATGAAACAGAAAATCCGGCTAGCAAAGGGCAGGTGTTCAGGCAAGAAGGAACCTATTGCTTCTCTTGGCACCCAGATGCTATGGACAATGTAACACTTGCTCAGAGTGAGACTGCCTGGTGCTGCTGGTGTGTAGCAGGCCTACACTTTCATGAAAAGTACAATCTCTTGTCCTAGCACAATCACATTTTAGAAAGGGAAAATCCCTTAGTATAAAATTATATCAGCAAGACAGGCATATGCTATGTATAGGACATGCACAAGAAGGCAAAATGAGGAGCACTTTCTTATAAAACATGTTTGTTGTACCAGTAATGCCTCCATGACACAGAGGGATTTCTTTTATGATAAATCACGTTGCATGTGATACTATAAAGACCAAATCTTCTAGTGGACAGCAATTAACAGAGAGAAATAATTCCAAATGCAGTAGGTACAACTTTCAAATCTTTCCTAAAAAAAAAAAAAAAAAAAAAAAAAAAAAAGAAATGCCTTAGCTGGCCCTTACATCGAAAATCACTTATTTTTCACCAACAGTTTAATTTTGTTTTTGAAACTGGCCAACCATGATAGTTTGGGTTTTTGAAGGTTTTAAGAATAGAGTATCAACTGAGACAGGCTTCAGTGTAAAAGGTGAAATTAATGTGTGCCTATCTTCCAAGAACTAGGCTAACCGAAGAGTGGCCCCTAGATCATGCGATCACAGCAACTCTTGCACGTTGGACAGAAAAGGAACCACAACTCAAAATCATGCAATTCTGCAGCATAGTTGAATATATAAAAGAAAAGGATGATGACTTTTAAAAATCTTTATTATGGCTTTGACAATTTTATTAGCAAATCTTCCTGAAAACTAAAGCTGTTCCAATAAGAAGAAGATAATGTATAATAATGAATAAGAAAAGATGGTAAGCTCTGACGAAAGGGACAGGATTTTTGCCTCTCTTTGTGTTCCCGGTACTTAGCAAAGTGCTAATCAACGCTAGCTAACGGACTGATTTAACCTCTCAGTCTCAGTCTCCTCATCTATAAAATGGGGATAATAACAGCACCTACCTGGATAAGGATTAAATGAGACAAAAGAGCTACATCAATGTTAACTTATTATACCACCAGGTCAGGCTGTTTATTCTTACTCTAATTCTGGGAAGAAAGATTCCCACCCACAATAATCTAGAACTGAGGCTAGGATGGAGACAGCAAACTGCTCACAAGGAAGAAAAAGAAACACAAGGTCATGCCTAGCACCAATGAACAGAGAGCTCCCTTTGGGATCATCTAGTTCTACAGCTTCTTTTCAAAATACAGAGGGAAACAAAAGGTGACTGAATTGTCCAATGTTTCCTAGCTAATGAATGGCACAGCTGAGACTGGAATCCAGGTCTCCTAATGACTGGGGTCAGCCAAGGTTTCATTCTACACAATACATGAAGTGGAAGCTCTGACAGCCTTAGGAGAAAAGGACCACAGATGCTGTTTAAGGTGGCTAAGAACACTACTTGCAGATAATGTAATGGTTTACTTTTTTAAAAATCAGTGAGAAAATTAATGAATAGCTTCAGCAAAGCAATATGATACAAAAAATAAATTCACAAAAATCATTTGCATTTCTATACAGTGCTAACAAAAACCAAGACGAACAACAGAAAAAACAATTCCATTCTAATAACTATGAAGCGCATAAATTGTCTGGGCACTGACCTATCAAGACAGATTCCAGATTTGTGTAATAAATACAAATAAAACCACATTACAGCAAAAAAGGAAGACAAATAATTGGAGGGAAAGTCAATGTTGGAGGGGACACTGAAAGACAAGGATACTAATATTCTGTGAACCTGTGATCAGTGAATCTGCCCAACCATTCTGGAAAACAATCTGGAATTATGTTAGAAAAATAACTAAAATGTCCACCCACTCTGACCCAGAAATTCCACTGCTAGGCATATACACCAAGGAAATCAATGACAGAAAAAAAAGTCCCAAATACATCAAAATATTAATAGCAGTGCTTTTTTGTAGAAGCAAAGAAATGGAAACAAAATAGAGGCCCATTATTAGGAAATGGCTAACCAAGTTGGGGCATAAAATGTAACAGAATATTATTCTGCTATAAGAAATGATGAATATGATAAACATAAGAAAATCATAGGAAAATTTATATGAACTGATATAAAATAAGAACCAGGAAAACAATATGCACATGACATCGATGTAAATGGAAAGATCAATAAATTAAAACTATATGATACAAAATAATAATGGCCAAGCTTGACTTGAAAGAAGAGATGAGAATGTCTTTTCTTCCAATCCCCTTCTTTGCTGGGATGAGAGAACATAAGTGTTGGAACACTGCATATAATATCAGACTTTTCCAGACTTTAGTTTTGCTAAACTGGTTTTTCCCCCTTTTCATTCTAAGAGATCACTGGTTGGAGGGGGAAAAATAGGCAAATGTAAGTATAATATAAAAATATAAAATATTTAAAATATAAAAATATGATACTAGTAAAAATGTACTCTAAAATAAATGGCAAGATATTCATTATTCAAGGTTGGGCCTCACCAACATAATAAAAATGATTATACGAACTAAATTAATTTAAAGATTTAGTGCCACACCCATCAAGCTAATAAGAGGTTACTTTATAAAATTAGATTAAATAATACAATTCATTTACAAGAATATAGGAGATAAAAAAGCAGGAATGAAGAGTCATGGAATTATCAGATTTCAAACACTATTAAAAGCAATAATTATTAAAATCATCTGGGGGCGGAGCCAAGATGGCAGCCGGGGGGGGGGGGGGAGACCAGTGACTTGCTTGAGCTCTCCCTCAAACCCCTCCAAATACCTATAAAAAATGGCTCTAAACAAATTCTAAAGCAGCAGAACCCACAAAAAAACAGAGTAAAACAAATTTCCAACCCAAGACAACCTAGATGGCTGATCGGAGAGGTATATCGTGCCAGGCGGGTAGAAGAGCGCAATTCGGTGTGGGCGCATAGGCCGCAGCGACCCTGGA